TAATAATTTATAAATTTTCAAGGGCTCATGAGGGAGGGTGAAAAGAGCTGATACCAGGGCTCAAGTAGAAAGAAAATATTTTGAAAATGATAATGGCAGCAAATGTACAAATGTGCTTGACACAATGGATGCATGTATGGATTGTGATAAGATCTGTATGAGCCCCTAATAAAATGATAAAAAAATTAAGGGGTGGATTCTAGCCTGTCAATCAGGTCACTTTCTCTCTACTTACCTGGAGGTGGGACATACACACACTCTCTCTCTCTGCTTCACCTTTCTGTTGACAAGCCACATGGAATCATGTTGATGGTAGGCAGATCCAGTTGATATGTGTCCACTGCCATTGGATCCACAGGCCTGTGATCTTCCTGCATGTGACATCATTGCATGTGCTGCATAAGTCTGAAGAGGAATTTATGGACTAGTATTGAACATAATGAGTTAAATTCTCAGGACTCCTTTGGTAACATAGAGCGTCAACCAAACGGATAAAGACTTTCCATGAGATGGATTGATACAGTGGCTGCAATAATGGGCTCAAACATAGGAATTATTGTGAGCATGGCACAGGAATGGACAATATTTTGTTCTGTTGTACATTGGGTCACTATGGGTTGGAACCAACTCAAAGGTAGATGACAATAGCATGGACAAAATATTAAATGATGCAAGAAGCATCAAAGAAGATGGAAGAAAACAGTCATTCTGCCTAAAATAATTTGTTAGAAGTTGTGGAATTGGAGAATGTTTTGCTTATTTTTGACACACGTAGAAAAGAAATAATACGAATAACAATGAGTTCAAGGAAGAAGAAAATGTTATTGGAACTGAGTAGGGTGACAATTGTACAACTCTTCTTGATATGAGCAAATTATTGAATTGTATGACATGTGGAGGAAGTGCTAATAAAAATAAGAATGTTTTGAAAAAAAAGTTTCTGTGAAAGCATCACAGGAAGTAGTATGTATTCAAGAACCAATATTACTGAAGGACAACGTCCAGTCTGCACTGAAGGCACCGGCAGAAGACAAGTCTGCAGAAATTGGTGGAATCTCAAGGGATCTCTTTCAAGATACAGTTACAATG